TGAATGTGTGCCATCCTCTGCCCTGTGCTAAGCCGGGGAGCCGGGTCCGGGTGCGCCCTGCTCAGCACGTGCAGCAGGCACGGCGCAGGCAGGACTCCTTCCACCCTGGCAGGAGCACGCTGGGGGCATGCACGCTCCACAGCACCCAAGTTGGTGGGGGGGAGAGGCCGAGCTGCCCTTGACGTGGATCTGCATCGAGTCTTGTGACTTGACCCAGGCACCACTCTTCTTGCATCGCAGGATCAGGACCTGGCCTTTTTCTTTCTGCAGAAAGCAAGTGCCTGCTGTGCCCTGGGTGCAGCGTCAAGGTCGCCTGCACCCTGGGTCCTCCAGGCTGTTTCAGTCTCATGCTGTTGATTTTTAACTTGGTTCCTGGTGCTTATTCTGTGCGCTGGGCTGGGCTGGGAGGTGCGTGACCTAGTCACTAAAGCAAGCTGAACTGCAGGGTCTGCGGGTTCAGTTTGTGGGAGGACGCTGACCGTGCGGCCGAGGGCTAGCTGCGTCCCTTGGCCTCCGTTCCCCTCGCTCTGTCATTACAGTAATGATATTTGCCTGGGAGGGCGGTTATGCACGTCGGGCTGTGTTTGCAACCTGTCCAGAGAGCTGCAGGTGGAAGGCACCCTCACCTGTGTACACAGATGCAAATGCACTTTCTAGAGACTCTTGTGGCCCGCGACTGGGTGTAACTCGGTGCCGTTGGGTATTGATGGGGTCAAGGATCAGCGCTGGGCGGGTGGGCGTGTGCATCACGGCCCTAGGAAGTGAGTTCGAACGACAGATGAAACCTGCTTCCAGGGTGAGGCTGGTCTGAGCTGCTGGCTGTTCAGAAGAGGCTTTGCTGGGGGCGTTGACTCTCCCTCCGGCCGTTTCTTGGGCACAGGGCTGGTCCGGTCCCCGATTCCCGTCTTCCTTGCAGGATCGAATCCGAGGTTGCATCTGCGGGGTGCTATGGGCACGTCCCTTCCAACCCTCACTTTCTGAGTCCGTGTGTCGCCAAGGCGTCTAAGCCCTGACCTAGGTTTCTTCCCGCTCCCTGCATCCTGCCCTGTTACCTTCACCTTTGCACCATGACAGCAGTCAAATGCACCTTGTGCTGCTGCCACAAGGAAGTCCACGTTTATTTGTGCAGTGAGCAAAGGTGGGAGCGACTCAGTCCATGCCACCCAGGCATGGGGGGCGGTGAGCGTGGCAAGGCTTGTGAGCCAGCTTGCACGTGGTCCCAGAGGGAAACTCTTGTGAGGAAGTGTTCAGAGCCTGCCCCGGGAACGGGGTTTTTACGTGCTTTGATGGCAATAGGAAAGGGAGCGACTGGCGCTGGTTCTCTTCCCTGGTTGCTTTGACAGACAGTGGTGCAGGAACTGAAATAAAGTGCTCGTTTCCCAGTGTCGTGGTGTGCTGGAAATGTGGCCCTGATGGGAGACGCTTGCTCACGTGCTGCAGCGCACGGGTTGGAGGTGGTGGCTTAGCAAATGCACTGGGCAAGGTGTGTGGAGCCCCTAAGCCACCAGCTCCACCCTGCCAGGACTGCCCGGTCTCAGCGCGATGACTGTGCAGTGATGACCAGGGATCCTGGTTTTCTCCCATTTAAAAAAAAAAAAAAATCCCAAATTTTCTGATTTAAAAAAATAACCCCAAATCCACACTTTTCCATGATTAAAATGAAACACTACTGCATGCATGTGTGCATATGTACACACCACCCCCGTGCCCCGAGAATGAGCCATCTCTCCTATCCGCCCTCAATGCAGGGAGTGATGTTATGTGCTCCACCCCATCGTCCTGGCCCACAACATGCCCCAATTTTTGGGTTCATGCCGGTCCTGACAGTGCCCCCGTGTCCTGATAGAGCATCAGGAGCTACAGGAGAATGGCAGCACTGCACTAAAGTCCTTGGAGAGATGCCAGCCAGCAGACACGTTGCTATCGGTGCCCAGGCAAGGGCTTGGAGCTTCTCCATAGCAATGAGATAACACCGGAGCTGTGAAAAGTGCTGATGTTTGGGTTACCCCGCAGCACGGCTGTTTAGCAAGGGAGCTGATGAGTGGTGCAAAGGCCATAGACATCCAACCTGCATGCCCTGGAACAGGAGGGGAGCCCAGTGCCACGGGTCGGGGCTGGTTCCCACTGCACAAAACCAGAGCCCTGGTCCTGAGGCTCCAGGGGAGTCCCTCTCCTCTCCAGATGGGTGCCCTGCAGTTTTTGGCCCTTCTCCAGTTCAGGGAACATGCATGCTAGGACAGGACGACAAGCCCTGTTTGTGTCCAGCATGCGTCCTTGCCGGGCCCCGGACCAGAGCTGTCCAGAAGGGCCATGCCTGCCTTGTGCCGGGCTGGTGTGCGCTTTCCAGGAGCGGTGGAGCGTGCGTGCATCTCAGTGCCTCTTGCATTACGCCCCGGCGAGGTGGCTGAATCCTGTCTAGTCCGCTCTGCCTGGGTATTGGCCTGTCTGTCTGCTTGCTTGGTTTGGAGCCCTTCTGTGTGTGTGTGTGTGTGTGTGTGTGTGTGTGTAAAGTTTGGTAAATTAACTTGGAAGAGGGTGTGTGTGTGTGTGTGTAAAGGCTTGGTAAATTAACTTAGATGAGGTATGCATGCATGTGTGTATAAAGGCTTGGTAAATAAACTTGGAAGAGGGTGTGTGTGTGTGTGTGTGTGTGTGTAAAGGTTTGGTAAATTAACTTGGAAGAGGGTGTGTGTGTGTGTGTGTGTAAAGGCTTGGTAAATTAACTTAGATGAGGTATGCATGCATGCATGTGTGTATAAAGGCTTGGTAAATAAACTTGGAAGAGGGTGTGTGTGTGTGTGTGCGTAAAGGCTTGGTAAATTAATTTAGATGAGGTATGCATGCATGTGTGTATAAAGGCTTGGTAAATGAACTTAGAAAAAGTGTGTGTGTGCACGCATGTGCACATAAAGACTTGGTAAATGAACTTGGACAAGGGAGGTATGTGTGCATGTGTGTAGCCATACCTGCCACTGCACACGCACACGCACACACTGTTTAATGCCCCGGTTCCCGGAGGAATCTGTCTGTTGATCTCAGCGGACCCCGAGCGGCCGGGGGAAAGGAAGGGTTTGGAGTTGCTGCTGTGCACAATGCTATTGCTAAATATAACCGAGTGGAAACCCCCATTGAAATGGGCTGTGCTGCAACTGCTTTTCCTGTGCCACCCTCCCATGCGTTTGCTTTTCTGTTTCCGCAGAACAATTCCATCAAAACCTCGAAATACAACGTCTTCACTTTCCTGCCTCTCAACCTGTTCGAGCAGTTCCAGCGAATAGCCAACGC